GTCTTCCTCCGCTCGGACCTTGACCTCCCTGAGGCAGGAGCCGCGCCTGCCCCCCCCGCACAGCCCCCGGCTCCTGTCTGGTCCCGGCGCCCTTGGTGGCAGGAGCCGTGCCTGCCCCCCCGCACAGCCCCCGGCTCCTGTCTGGTCCCGGCGCCCTTGGTCCCGGCAACCGCCAGCCGCCCAGGGCTGTTAAATCTTAATGGATTGAAAATCCCGCTCCTCCGCCACAGAGGCCACGTGGCACCCAGGCTGCATGTGACTCCCAGATAAGGAGCATGGGCGCCCCTGCCCAGAGCCGAGTGGCCGGTACTGGCTGGCTCCTGTCTGCGGGCATCGGGGGCGAGTGCGGGACTTAAACAGCTACGCCATCCACTTTGCCTTCCCGGGGCCAGGTGTCTCTCCCTCAGGAGGGCGCAGAGCCCCTGAGCCCACGGACGGAGCCCCGTCAGCTCGGGAGCTTGTCCCGGACGCTGCCTCCGCTGCCGCCAAGAGAGCAGGCCGGTGTCAGGTGGCCCTGCATGGAGTGGGGCCTCGCCACGGCCGGCAGTGGCATCCCAGGCCAGACGCTCTGTACACTGTCACCTGGCTGTCAGGTTCTCTGATAATGCCTTCTGCGGGGTGGACAGCCTGTTTATCCAAGCACCCACAGCCGCCTCATCCCCCAGAGGTCACCATGCTGTCGCAGTGTGGGCCACGCACTGTGGTCTGACTCGGGGTCCATCATCACGCCCCACCACGGCCCGCTGCCCACTCTGCACTCACCCGCCACCTCCTGCCCCTACACACAGGCCACGTCTGGGCCTCCCACTGGCTCTGTTCCTCTGTCTGGAAGGCTCTCCTGTCCACACTGCCCCCAGGCCTGGCGCTGCTTCCCCTTGTTCCTCCTGTCGTGCCACAGGCACTGGCCACAGGCCCAAGCCAGATCAGACATCAGCCCACTCTCGGGCTCCTGGCCCTGTGATGGCAGGGGCCAAGCATGCACACAGCCTTCCTGACACCAGGACACTGGGGCTGAGGGAGCCCCAGGAGAGGCCTCACCCAGGCTGGAGGGGCAGGAAGCTGAATCCTGAAGGTCAGGCCATCAGGGAGAGGTCCGTGACCAACAGGCAGTGGGCTCCAACTCGGGAAAGTGCAGAGCAGAGCCGGGCAGCCCTCAGGGACCTGTGTGGGGAGGGGTGACACCGAGGGGAGGCAGGGGAACCTGCTCACGGGGCTCACCGTGCTGTCTCGTGCCCTAGGACTCTGACCCAGGAGGACCCGGGTGACAACCAGATCACGCTAGAGGAGATCACGCAGCTGGTGAGCTGGGCCCCACGCACCTTGCAGTCCCCTCCAGCATGGGTCCCCCGGGGTGCGGCCAGAAGACAGTGCCGCTGATGCAGAGCAGCAGAAACGTGTCCTCTGCCGGTTCTGCAGGCCGGGGGGTTGAAGTCAGGTGCCGGCAGAAGACGCTCCTAGTTGGGGGAGGGGGCTTCCTGCCTCTTCCAGCTTCCTGGAGCCCTGGGTGGCCCTTGGCGTGTGCCCCTGAACCTCTGCTCTCCGCATCCTCGTTCCGGGCTATCCTCACCCCTGTGTCACCCTCCCCAAGCATGTCTCTCCCTGCGTCCAAGCTCCCCCATCTTGTGGAGACACCAGTCCTGTTGGACTGGGACCCACCCCAGTGACCTCCTCTTAACCAGGGCACACGTGCAAAGACCCTATTTCCAAATCAGGTGATGTTCCCAGACACCAGGGAGCAGGACTTCAGCACCACTTTTTGGAGGGAGGGAATTCCACCTGTCACACCTCCGCCCCTCCCTCCCTCATCCTCTGCTCACCACCCTCCTCCCCGGCCCCAGCCCCACCCCCACTGGGTGTTCTCTGCTCCACGGTCCCTGGAGGAGGCTTGGGGGTTCCGGCTTGGGGGGGCTGCTCCTGAGCGCTGACCCCCGGCCAGGCTCTCTTCAATGGCAGCCCGTCTACACCTCCAGCCCCGCGCTCAGGATGAAGCAGCAGGGTCGGGGGCGGTGATGAGCCCCACCCAGGGCCGCAGGGTCCAAGATGAGGTCCTCACCTGGCTCGGTTCCAACTCGAGAGCAAGAGCTCGTCTAGCACTCATGGTGCCTCATCCCCAGGAGTTGTAGCCGCCATCCACCTACGCGGGCGCCCTCGGGGAGCGCTGTGCTTGCCGCAAGCCGTATGAGCTCATGGTGGCGGGGCGCGCAGTGGGGAGGGCAGCGATGCGCTCCCGGGGCCTGGCAGGCCCGCGTCCTGCTCCAGGTCAGCGAAGTGGCCCTGACGTGCTACCACAAGCCACCCCAGAGTCCGGGGCCCAGCCACCGTGGTGGCAAGGAAGCTGGAGGCCGACGGGCTCTGCCTGCCTCACAGCCCCATGCTGGCTCACTTCCCGCACTGGCGGCCCGAGCTCTGGACGCTACCATACCCAGGGTGAGGACAGAAGACTCCGGGATCTGGGTCCACCGCTTCCCTCCCCTCTCCTCCCAGGTTTCCGGGGCCTGGGCCCCCATGGGGAGCACCTGGGGCAGCTCCGGCCTGCAGAGGGCCCACACCCTGCCCCCCCCGCAGCACTGAGGCTGGGCCCCCGGGCAGGAAAGGTGTTCGTGCAAAGACGCCACAGGGACCCTTGGGGCAGGACGTTGGCCGAGCCCTGGGAGTCCGGGCTCCTTCCCTGAGCAGTTCCCGGCAGGGACCAACCACAGTGCTAAGCCCTCGAGAGCACGAGAGCCCCTTGTTTCCGGGCAAACATCCTGAGGCTCTTGCGGAACAAAGCACCGCTGAGCGGAGCCGCCCTACGGCCTGGACTTGTTCCCGGAGCCCCGAGAGCGCGTGGGGCACATCCTGTGTGCACAGGCCCCAGTGGCCTTGCCAGAGAGCCTGAGGGCTGCTCGGGGACACTCAGACGGGCCCCAAGGCAGGCGGGCAAGCTGTGCTTCCGGCCTCTCCTCCGGGGTCACCTTGTCTCCCAGGTGACCCAGAGGGAGCAGGGCGAGCTCCTTGCCTCCCCTGCCTTAGCCTTCTTGTGGCTCACCCCCACGGGCCTCTCCATAGCCCAGGCCACCCACGGGCCCTTAGGCCTGGCAGCTGTCCTGGGCCCCCAGGAGAGACCTTAACACAGCTGTCCTCATGGTACCTGCTGTTCTTGTCCCCAGTCACCACATGTCACTCCCTGATGGCATCGTGCCCCCTGCTGTCGCATCCAGACCTCTGGTGCAGGGTCACTACGCCCAGGACTGCGTGGGAACTCTTCCTCTGCTTCCCTGCGTGCTGTCCCTGCCCCGTCGTGTGGCTGGAGCTCTCTGATGGCCAGGACTGTTTTCTGGTCCTTCTGCATCCAGGGTCTAGCAGGGACCCTCAATGGCTGTTTGCTGAGGGAGCGGGGGAGGGAGGGAGGGAGGGAGGGAGGCAGACGGTCTAGGAGAGGGCTTGCCCCCCTTGATAGGAGGTGGATACTGTTCCCTTGTGAGCAGTGCAGGCTTGGGGGGTTCAGCCCAGCCCCTGAGGCCTCTGGGCAGGGTAGCTTGCCCTCTGTCCCGTGTGGCCTAGCTGGAGGTCGGGGTGATTCGTGTTCCTGACCCCTCGCTCCTGGACACAGCCCCCACCCAGGGCCAGCCCTGAGGCTCCTTCCACTCTCTCCTCCAGCCCCATCTCTCCCCTCCCAGACACTACAGGGGGACTCTGTGGCAAGGACACCGGCATTTCCACGTCCACCTTTGGTCAAATCCCTGCCACCGGGACCTTAGTCCTCTGGCAAGTGTTTCCCAAGGCTTCCCCCGAGCCGGGGATGCCAGGCGGTGGACAGCCATAAAGGCTGTGCCCACGGTGGTCCTGGGGGCCAGAAACACGGGCCCCCACGACGAGGGCCAGCCAGCCACCTTCTGGGCGCCCCGGGAGGTCATCACCCCTGTAAGCCCACACTGCTAATGGGGCTCCAAATGAGACGTTCTGGAGCCAGCTATGGGTCCAGACAGAACCTGAGGGGAGGGACAGGTCATGGGGAACCCGAACTCACAGCCGGGCTCCAGGCCCAGGCGGCCCATGTCCTGCCGACTGACGTGGGCCAGTCACAGTCCTCCCGACACCTCTGTGGTCTCGGTCACGTCCGGGACAAGGTAACCTCCTTGCGGCGGGAGTGCTGACTCACGGAGCACGGGCCCGCACACGCTCCCGCCGTGCCCTTCCCGCCCCCACCCAGGACAAGGCCAACATCACACCAGAGACTTTTTCCTGCGGGAAAGCAGGAGGGTCTGACTCAGGACTTGTTCCCTCAGGCGGAAGGCATCAAGGCAGAGCCCTTCGAAAACCACTCGGCCCTGGAGATCGCGGAGCAGCTCACCCTGCTGGACCACCTCGTCTTCAAGAAGATCCCCTATGAGTGAGTGGGCGCGGGTGCGGGCCCCCCACCTCCCAGCAGCTGGCTGTGCAGCCTCCCTGGGACCCACGCCGGGACATCCAGAGCCACGTGCACCCACCGCGGGGGATCAGAAGCGTGTGTGTCCACAGGAATGTGGGACAGGAATGTGCTCTCTTCCCTGGCCCCAAGTTCTGCACACACGTGCACATGCACTCTCACGCTTTTCCAGAAGCATCTTCCACTCAGCTCTCCTATTCTAGAGCTCTAAAAGAGGAGTATGTGCACATGAGTGTTAGTGTGCACACGCACGCATGAGAGTGTGTGTGTGCATGAACATGTAAGTGCGTGCACGCATGCTTGTGATTGCACACGTGTGTGGGTGTGTGAGTGTGTGCCTGTGTGTGACTGCATGGGTGTGCACAGGCACAAATATGGTTGTGCACTGTGTACGCGTGTGCACATGTGCATGGGTGAGTGTGTGAATGTGTGCGCACCGACTTGTGATTGTGCACACGTGTGTATGGGTGTGCACATGTGTGCGTGGCTACGTGGGTGTGTGAGCTCAAACACGTGAGTGGTTGTGTGCTGTGTACATGTGCGGGTGTGCAAGGGTACACACGTGTGCGTTGGTGTGTGAGTGTGCATACATGAGCGTGCACACCTGTGCTTGGTTGCGTGTGAGTGTGCCCACACACATGCCCCCGGAGCAGGGGCGGGGCCAGCTCTGGATGTCTCAGGAGCCCAGAGGCCTGGCATCCCCGCTGGGACTGTAGCCAGTCACCCCAAGTGCCGCTGGTAATCGCACCACTTAGTGAACTCACGCCAGCCTCCCTCCGCGCACAGTGTGCCCGCGGCGTGCGTTAACAGCGCCTTCGGCAAGTGCACGGAATTCCCTCGCAAGGCGTGAAGCCACGGGGTGGTTTGCAGTTTCCACGTTTCCATCTAAAGCTGACATAAACTGCCTTGTAAGGAAGTATTTCTTGGAGTTTCTGACAAGTGTCCGGGAATAGTCTCCCCAAATTGGAACCTCGGGATCTGAGGCTCTGACGCACTCTAGGGGTTTGGTCTCTGCTTCCGGAAACTTCCGCCGGTCGTCAGTCGGGAGAGGGTGGCTGCATCTCAGGCACCAGCAGTGTCCGCTGGTGAAGCCGGGTGGTTCTGCTGGGCTCCCTGGGAACAGAAGCAGAGAATTGTTCCCATCCTGTCCACAGCATGCACCGGGGCCCCTCACCGTCCCTGCCAAATGCAGAGCTTCCCCAGGAGGCCTGGACTGTCTGTGGCCTTCCCACGGGGTCCTCCTCACCAGGACTCACACTGGCCTGCAGGCTCCTCGCCCCTCCGCCCCTAGGCTGCAGACCGGCCTCTCTGTGCAGTGAGTCTGGGGCGGGAGTGCTCCCCATTGGGCCCGAGCTCCCAGACAGGGCCCCCTGGACTCTGCCTCCACGGTAGATGCTGAGCCTTCCCACACAGGGGCTCTGGCCTCGGCCTGCCAGCAGCCCCAGGGGGAAAGCGGCCACGTTCCCATTTCACAGATGAGGCCACTGAGGCCTTGAGCAGGGCCAAACCCAGCTAGACGCCAGCGTAGCATCCCTTCCTGTCTGGGGCTCTGCGGGAGGTTCCTCCCGGAGGGGCAGAGCCCTCACAGCAAAGGGCTAAGTGGGACAGAGCTCATGGCGCGGGTGTCCTCGCTTCCCACAGGGAGTTCTTCGGACAGGGCTGGATGAAACTGGAGAAGAACGAAAGGACCCCCTACATCATGAAGACCACCAAGCATTTCAATGACGTGAGTACGGGAGCCAGGGGCAGTGCCTGTCTCTCCCGGGTTCTTCTTTGCCAGGACCCTCGGGGAGCTGGGTGCACAGCGGGCTCCCCACGAGGCATGGGACACCCAGGGTTTGTAGGCGTCCTAACCTCACACCAACCCTTAGCCCGTGTGGTGGACACAAGCAGACCTAGGCTCTGAGGACGGACGCCTGCGGTCTCCTGCCGAGCATCAGGCTGGAGGCAGACGTGTCCCAGCAACTCCTCCACGGCTGCCCCGGCTCCAGCCCCCGCCCACACAGGGCCCCGTCCGTGCCCGCCCCGTACCAGCCCCAAGGGCACTCTGAGCAGTGTCGTGGCACAAGTGAAGACCCCTGCTGGCTGGACGCAGGAGCGTGGGACTCTGCTTGTCCTGACCGCCTGGCCGGGGCTCCCTGGCCAATGCCCCGCACTGGGGAGGCTCCTTGGCCCCAGGAGGAAAGGTGGGAGACCCCCCACAGTGCAGCTCTGGAGGGGAGCCCTGTAGGGAACCCAGCAGCAGAGCAGGGGGCCCGTGTCCGAGTGGAGAGAGTAAGTGGAGCAGGTGGGCTGGTCCCGGAAGCTGCTTCCCGCGCCCTCCCCGCCGCAGCTGTGCCCGAGACAGGGGAGCCGAGGGCCGGGACATGACATCAGCGCCGGCTGCCTGTCTGGCTCACGCCAGCCGCGGTGCCACCACCCCATCGTCACCGGCTTGTTTAACCCTGTCTCACTCACTTTATGATGGGGTGAACCGAGGCCTGGGGGGTTAAGTTCCATTCCCGACATTACACAGCGGGACAGCCTGCTCTGAACCCACGCGGTCCACCTCTGAGGGCTGCCCACGTCGCCACCTGGCATCTGGCCATGTCTCTTAAAACCCGTCATTTCTGCAGACATTGACCGTGTGCCTCCCCAGGAAGACCGTCACCACCTGCCACTGTTTCTAGACCTTTCTCTGACTTTTGGCCTGTAATCTCTTTGTCTGGCTGAGGTACCCACTGGGCTCTCCAGCATCAGGGCTAGAATGAGGGCGAGGGACGGAGGTGCGCGGGTGCACCCGCCCCCGTGCCCGTGTCGCCCCTGCAGCCCGCGTGCACCCCCGCGGCCCCTTAGGATGGGCTGGGGTGCAGATGTTGTACTGATTTGGGTGGTGCTTCCAGATCGCTTCTCCTGTTGCCCCGTTTGGGGTGATGGTGGTTTGTCTGCTGAAAGAAATGCTTTTCCTGGTTTGCTGATGGTGTTTACCGCAGATAAACGATGAATTTTATCAACGATTCTTTCCGCATCTATTGAGTTGGGCGAACGGTCTACGCCCTTCAGTCTGCGGAGGTAGGAAGGCAGGTTTCTCTCTGGCAGTCACTAATAGTCGACCACCCCTGCGTTCCAGGGACAAAGTAACATGGCCATGGTGTGTTAAACGAACAGTGTGTGATTCTCCTTCTCGTGTTGTGCATCTCTGGTTTTGGTGTCGAGACTATACTGGGCTCGTGGCATAAGTTAGAAGATCCTCTTTTTTCTCTATGTTCTGGAAGATTTCACTGAGCTACTCCTTCAAAAAAAAATTGTATAACGTATACATAAAACTGGTTTTGGGTTTAGTGTCTGTGATTGGAGGAAAAAAAACCTTTATCACTTCAACATACTTAAGAGTTATAATATACAGGGGTGCCTGGGTGGCTCAGTCATTAAGCCTCTGCCTTCAGCTCAGTTCATGATCCGGGGTCCTGGGATCGAGCCCCACATCAGGCTCTCTGCTCAGCAGGAAGCCTGCTTCCCCCTCTCCCACTCCCCCTGCTTGTGTTCCCTTTCTCTCTCTGTCTCTCTCTGTCAAATAAACAAAATCTTTAAAAAAGAAGAAGCAGCAGCGTTCTAACATATATACTATTTTGCGTTATCATTCCTTCCTGATTCTTTTCAGCGGTTTCCGTTCTTAAATAGTTTTACAATCCATCCTTCTGATGTACATCCTTCAAAAGTCACTTTTCTTGAGATTTTATTTATTTATTTGAGAGAGGGAAAGAGAGAGAGCATGAGATGGAGAAGCTCAGAGAGAGAAGCAGGCTCCCCGCTGAGCAGAGAGCCCGATGCAGGACTCGATCCCAGGACCCTGGGATCACGACCTGAGCCGAAGGCAGGTACTTCACCCACTGAGCCACCCAGGTGCCCAGAAATTATTTTTGAGAAGAGTTCTTGGCAGTAAGGCCAAAAACTACAGTTTTTATTCATCTGTAAACGTCCTTTTATATTACCTTAATTTTTTTAATAAACAGTAGTCTTTTTCTTACCTTTTTTAAATAATTAGAGATTCATAGGAAATTGCAAAGAATGCTTTGGACCGATGCTTTGGTCCCACGCCCCGGTTCCCTGACCACCACCATCCCCACCCACATTGGATTTGTGCCCATGTGCTGGGGAATTTATATGTGAGACCAGGATGCCACAGAGTGCGGGTCCTTGCCGAGCCCCAGTTGTATAGTGGAGACTCTCACAGAGCCGGGCTCTCCTGTCTTCTTCCAGGGGAACTGTGGACTTGCTTTTTCGGGTTCTCAGGAAACTCCTGTTGCTCGTTTACTGGAGAGCATTAAAGTCACGTGTTAGTATTGAAAATGGCATATTTATATTCCCATTTGGGAATTGGATCTTTTTCTTCATAATTCAAACCTTTAAAACCTTCGATCGTTTTTTCGTGTAGGATCTTCCAAGGTTCGCATCAGTTTAGGTTCCGAGGTAATTCACACCTTCCCACTGGGATTGTGAAGGTCTTTGTCACGGTGTTTTCTAGTTGGCACGGCCAATACATAGGGAAACTTCCCATTTTGGTGTGTTGAGTCTTTAAGCAGCCGCCCTAGCGAGCCCCTGTTAGTTGTCTGGTAGCGTTCCAGCGCACTGTCGGATGGTCAGCCTTGCGATACTTACGCCTTATTTTTTCTTGTCTTATTGCACGGGCTTAAAGATCAGTAACTTGATTGCTTCAGAAATCATCCGCAATGAGGACATCAACGCAAGGGTGAGCGCCATCGAGAAGTGGGTGGCCGTGGCCGACATCTGTCGCTGCTTGCACAACTACAATGCCGTGCTGGAGATCACCTCGTCCATGAACCGCAGCGCGATATTCCGGCTGAAAAAGACGTGGCTCAAAGTCTCCAAGCAGGTGCGGGCGGGAGGCGGGCACCGTGGCCGGCCTGGGGCTGGGCTGGGCTGGGGCACTGGACTGCTGGCCTCTGGACATCCATAGGTGGGCAAAGGACAGGGTGAGGGCTAACACTCCCAGCAGAACCTCTTCTCCTGTATCACCGGGACTGGGTATCCAGCCCACAAATGTGGCCCTGGGACCCACGGGACTTTAATACCACTTAAACAATTAACACTGCCAAGCGGGACACGTAAGACAGTGACAACTGGTCCCCATGCTCTTCTCCTTGAGCTGGGACAAGAGCGGTGGCTTCATGTGGATGCCAGTCCGGATCTTCAGGGCTGCCAAGACGGTGGCCAGATGGTCCTGTAGGTTCCTTCCCGGGACTCGAGACTCACCAGCCCTTCTGGCCACCAGGGAGTCGGTGATCTTAAATGTGGGCTTGATCTTGATCTGTTCAGAGCACAATCCTGAAATGTGGTTTCTTCCTCGGGAATAAAGTTCCCTACACTGAGGTATGGAGGGGGCAGCTCTCCTAAGAGGATTACACGGAGGCCACCTCCTTGGTGCACATGGTGGGCTCCGGGCCCCAGGCCACACCTGTGCAGGAGGCGGACAGGCTCTGCAGACGTGCAGAACAAGCCTCTTCAGGCACCGATACCTTGGCAGCGGCGTCTGTGGTCCTGCCGCTGGGTGGGCTCTGGGGGGCACGGGGTCTCCAAGGGGCCTGTCTCATCTGGACCGCTCTGGATTTGCACACTGAGTGCCCCTCATGTTCTCTTTATTACCTTTATTACCTGCCCCCCCCATCCTCATGCCAATAGCAGGGCACCATCCTGTGCCCCCCAGGCAGCCATCAGGTTTCTCCGTTCCTCCTCCTTATCTAAGTAGCCCAACCCGCAAGCCTGGGGCGCTTGTCTCCCCAAACACAGACACGCCAGGGCCAGGACAAGAACAGGAGCTCCTGGAGAGCAGAGGCTGGAGCTCGGGAGCTCAGGCATGTAGGCCCATCTGGCCCTGCGTGACCCCGTGGTGCTGTGACCTCCTGTAGCAGGGGACCCAGCAGGCTACTGTCGGACCCTGGAGTCATCCAAGCCGGCTTGGCCTGTCAGGGCTCAGGCAGAGCTGTCGGTGGAGTCGGGTGGCCCAGTCTGGCTCTGTGGCTCTCTCCTCCTGCCCTCAGACCAGCCCCGCTTTCCCTCCACACTGGGGGCTCCGAGCCTCTCTTGGCCTCGTTTTCCAGCATCACCCTTGGTCTGGAGTTGGGAGGGAACCACTTTGACCATCCCAGAGCTTTCTGTTCTCTTAGGGGAGTGCAAATGCAGGGCAGTTAGAGGTCCTGCATTCTCGGATGCCATTCAGGACCTGGGTCCGAACGTCACAGGTGCGTCGCAAAGCGCGTGCAGGCCTGCACACTCTGTGGCCAGCAGGCCCCGCTGGCTTCTCCCAGCCCTTCTGCGGGGCCCCGTGCATCTACACGGCACCTGGCCAGCCCCAGCCAGAGACGGTCGCTATCCCTCTGCCGGTGTCCCCTGGATGCTTGAGACCAGAAGGGCCTGAAACGCAGGCCCAGCAGCAGGCTTCCGTCGTCGGCTTGAAGGTGCTGGCCCAAAGCCAGACAGCATTCCGCCCAAGCCCAGGCCAGCCCGCGCCAGAGCCAAGCAGCCAGGCTGAGGTGGGGACCTCTGGCTCGGTTCACCATCTTCTCCCATGCTCCGCCCCACCCTCAGGAAGCCCCCCCACGTGCATTTGAGCATCGGATCTGTGTGTTCCCTCCGGAGGATGGTCACACTTTCGCAGGGACGGACATCTCTTTGGCCCACGATAGATACCTCGGCCTCCTTGGGAGGGAGCAGCTGTGGCCCTCTGGAAGCGTTCTGCTGGTGGACAGGAAGGGATGATTTTCAGGGGCACCGTGATCATCTTTGTCCTCAACACCACGTCCAAGGCAGGCCCCTCGCTTGGCCTCTGGCTTTAGAGACCTACTCCAGGCGCCCCTCTTTTCTGCTCGCGGGCAGAGATGCCCCAGATCCCGGGGCCCCATGTCCCCTTGAGCTCCTGGCCCCACCGGGAGGTGCTGGAGCTGCTTCAAGTCAGAACTCACTCTTTTAAGCAGTGGCTGGGGGAACGCAGTGGGTCTCAGGCTGCAAAATCCTTCCTGGACAGAGCAATGCCCCGGAAGAACACAGATGGGGAAGGAATCAAAGTGCCCATCTCAGAGCCACAGATTGGCCCCAAGTGTATACCCCAAACCCCAGAATATCCTCCCTGGGTTCTCATGACCACTGGCGGGGGATCCTTCCCCTGGAGCTCCAGGGCCCCCAGGGCCTCCTGACCTCGATTCTGTGGGGCCCACAGTCCCAGGATATCTGACTGTTGTTGCCCTTAGGGAATACCCGGGCCTCCCCTCCCATTCTCCAGATGTGAACGTGGACACCCAGCACTCTGCGGGTGCTGTCTGGCCCGTGGGCTCGCTGAGGGGATCACAGCGCCCAGCCAGGCCCCCGTCCAGGACTCTCAGCCCCACATCAGGTCCTTCCTCCAGAGGCGAGTGGGGCAGCAGAAAATTCTGGAAAAGGGCAGGGAGGACACTGAGAGGCCGGAATGGAGGTGGCCTGGGCGTCCGGGCTCCAGGACAGATAGGTGAGGGCAGCCGTCCCGGGAGAAGGCGGAAGCCTGTGCCCTTGACCGCGTGTGTCACTTTCACCAGACCCAGGACACACTTGTGCTTTGAGCGGGTTTGGTGCAAGCCGGTGATTGACGCTTCCCATCAGTCCGCGAGCAGCCCGAACGGGGTGCCCTGCCCGCTGCGCCTCTGGGGGAGCACATCTGGGTCTCTTCGCCCATCGGAAGGAACATGCTGTCGTTTTCTGTGGGCAGATTGCTCAGAAAATTCTGGCCCAAAGCTTATGGGCGCGGCCAGTGTGCTCTCGGCCACGGTCTGGACTGGGGGGACGGGAGCTGGAAAGAGGGCTCACTAGTCCACCGCCTGCCGTGTAAATGAGGGAGCTGGAGGCCACCAAGGCACGGGCTCCCCAGCCCCGCAGGGAAGGGAGCGCCAAGTCAGACCCAGGCCGGACACGCTTCAACCAATGCCAGTGTCCGGCTTGACGAGCAGCGGACAGGACCCTCGGCCGGCAGAGGGGAGGGGGGTCTTCCCCTGGAAGTCCTGTTTTTCTAGCGGATCGGCCCATCTGCCATTGTCTTTCTCGATTCTTACACTGGAGTGGGGTCCTGAGAGCTACAGGTGAAGGGGAACCCCTCGGCCGCACCCCTGGGCTTCCGTGCGCGAGAGAGGCTGTGCTCTGGAGGGGGGCTCCTTGCAGTGGCCACGTCCCACCCCCACCCCCCAGGCTCAGGGTGCCCAGGGGTTCCCGGGTCCCCCACACCCCACTTCTGTGTTTCTGAAGGGTGCGTGGACGCTGACGGATGCGTAGGACGCGGGTCTGTGTCTGAGTCTTCAGGAGGTGGGGGTGAGCTTCCAGACTCCAGGGGTCTCCGGAAATGCCCCATCCCATGACGGGCAGAGTGGCTGGGGTCCTGGAGCCTCGAGGGCAGCCCGTGGAGCATGGGCCGGCGCGTGGGCCTCGGGGCGTGTCGTGTGTTAGTAAATGCTTCTAATTCTTTCTAGACGAAAGCTCTGATTGATAAGCTCCAAAAGCTTGTGTCATCAGAGGGCAGATTTAAGAATCTGAGAGAAGCTCTGAAAAAGTAAGTGTGTGTCGTTTTGTCGCCGTTACCGTCTAAATTGCAGAACCGCATGGCAGACACATTCACAGGCCACAGCGGCTGATGCAGATCTGTCTGTCTGTCCGTCCGTCTACCCACAAGACCCCCAGGCAGCCCAGACTGCCAGGGTGGGTCAGCTCTGCCCTCCATAGTCTGCCGGAGAAATCCCAGAGTCGTGGTGGCATTTCCCGGGAGAGAGAGAGAGCAGGGGGCCCTGGAAGGGGGCTGCTGTCCCCAGGAGCCACCAGCCGTGACCCCAGACACTTCCAGGCCGACACGCCCCCTGGCCCCACCGTTCAGTATTTCTGACATCAGGATGTGCCCTGAAGTCAGTGTGTTTGTTTCATGGGATTGTGCCTCCTTTTTTTTACTGAGAATTAGTCCTCAAAACCAGAGTGCATTGTACAAAAAACGGCACCTTGGAATCAAAGAAAGGCCATTTTCCCAACACCTGCTGCTCACTGTGGGCAGAGCTCCCCCCAGCCATCTACCATTTGCAGGGCCTCCCCGCCTCGGCCCTTAGACAGGATCGTCCTGCGTCGATGGCTGTCTCGTGCCCGCAGGGTGTCAGCCGCAGCCCCGGCCTCCGTCCACAAGTTGCCAGGGCCCCTCCCCATGTTCTGACCCCCAGAACTCCCGCACTCATTGCCATTGTCCCTGTGGGGCGGTACCACCCCCCGGAGATCACCGCGGCACGGAGAGTCTCCTGTCTTGCTCCTCCGGATGCGGACATGGAGGCCCTGGGGCCATGGCACGGAGTGGCCTGCGAGGCCTGCACTCCGTGGTTTGCCCATGGCCGCTTCCAGGCAAACTCTCCCAGCACAGGAGAGCCCCAGCCCCTGGTGCCCACTTGGCCACGCACTCCCGTGAAACAGGCTTACAGTCACCCCCATAGCTGTGTGCTTTGGGCCACCGGGCTGGCCTCACCCCTTCTTCCCTGAACACCGTGGAGAGACCCCAGGCCACCCCTAGGGTCCTGGCTGTTTACAGAGCCCACGAGCGCTGTCCTGCCGTCATGCCAGATCGCATGGTCACTGCCCCCCAGGCTGGGGATGGAGCAAACCCTCCTCCCCGGCAGGCCCACACACCAAGCTGCCAACCCCACCACCCTCCCCACCGGCCCCCACGGCTCCTGGCCCACCCTTCACCAGCTCCGTGTGCCGTTGCTGTACTCACCTCCATGTCCTCATTCAGATGTCCCACCCACGTCTATGCCGTCTCTCTGGTGCCCCCGGGCTGAGCTGGTGGGGGTCGCCCCACTGTGCATTCCCTAGCCTGTCTGCCCGCCCGGGCACCCCTCCATCCACCTCCCTCCCATGGCTTCCTCGTCCGTCCACCACCTCCATGCCTCCACGGCTCCTGTCCTGTCTCAGTGACCCTGTGCTGTCTTCCCTCCTCCCCATGGGCCTGTGTCAGTGCCTGGCCCAGGCGCCTCTGCTCCCACCACGTGGGGCAGCGGGGACATGGGGTCTCCGGGCATCCTGGGGACTGATGCCTTCGTGCAAACCAGGTTCTTGTTTCATGGATGCGGGGGCCAAGCACTGCAAGGGAAAGACGTTGGGGAGACCCGGGGCAGAGGTGTCCTGCATCCCTTCTCTGGAGGCGCTGTGGTTTCCCCATACAGCTGTGCCATGTGAAACCCTGGGGTCCGTCTCACCAGGCAGGGGGCAGTGGCAGCACGAGGAGCCGTGCAGAGCCTTACCGAGTCGGTCCCAGCCCGCAGCACTATTTAACGACTGGCCTTATTACCTGTACCAGCGAAGGCTTCATCCCTGCGTCCGACACCTCGTCGCCTCCCCCACCTTTTCAAATCCCTCCGGGCCCACCTGCAGCACTTGCCATGGGCACCTGTCAGTCCCCTGCCCAGACACCCTGAGCACAGACGCAGCCGCCCTGTTCATTCCCCAAACCCACACCCTAGCGGGCCCCGTGAGGCTGTCCCCTCCTGCCAGCCCGCCAGCCCTCAGAGCCTCCCCCAGCTCCAGGCCGCTGCGTTTGGCTGAGATCTAAATTTGTCAGGAAAACTTTGTCCCCAGCCCTTTTGGGGGTCACTTCTGGTTGGCCCAGTCTTAACCCAGCCCGCATTTGCCTTTCCGCACGTCGGCTGTAATTTGAACAGGCAGCCCTCCGTTAGAGGAACCGGGGCCGGGCTTCCCCTGCGGGCGGCTGCCCGTGCGTGAAGGACGGGAACAGCCATGGGGGCACCAGGCGGCTAGCTGGCCCAGCCCCTCCCCAGACCCCCTTCACGGGGGTGGAAATCCATCTGTCCGTGGGCCTGTGCGGCGTCCAAGTGCTCCAACATACCAAATACCTCTTCCCACTTTGATTTTCTGCCCGTGACCACCCAGCAAACCCTGGTCTCCTGCTAACGAGATGACAGAGTAGTTTGTGTCCAGGTGGCAAAAAACAGGATTGGACTCTGAGCTCCACCCCCACTCCTGCCCCACGGCAGTATTTTCCCCCAAATCTGAGTACCTAATTCACTTGATCTGCATGCCGGGGAGGCTTGGACCCTGGCCCCGGGGGCTCGGGACCACACAGCCCAGCCCGAATGGCCCTCACACCCTCCCTGGGGAGGAGAGGAGATCCTCAGCTGGAGGCAGCAGAGCGTGTGGGAGAGTGGCCCGCCCCCCTGCCGGGGCAGGGCAGAGGAGGGAGAAGGGACAGGTGACCCCACAGTGGCAAGCCCACCGGGCAGCCACATCTGACCTTCAGTTGCTGGTACCCTGTGGTCAGAGGAACCCCCGATATTTTCCACTGGTCTGAGGCCTCCAGGAACACTGTGGCCACTTGACTCCCCTCCCTACCCCCAACTCAGACAAGAGGTGCTTCCCGGCCTCGGGTTACCGAGTTCCCGGGTCAAGTGTGGACCCAGCGGGGCGAGCTGGGAAGCCCCATTAGAGACTGCCGGCCCCCGAGCTGCCAGCCCCTGCCGGCCCCAGATTTCCTTCTCTATCTTTGAACTCTGTCCCCGTCCGCCCCCGAGCCTGGGCCTCAGGCTTACAGCGTGACAGGTGGGGTGTGGAAAGCCGGGCCTCCAACAGTCCCAGACTGTGTGTCCGAAGGGACCCAGAGATGCCTGCCAGTGACCTGCTCAGGTCTGACTTTTTTTTTTTTTTAATCGCAACCCACGGTAAAAGCATACATACATATATGTTTAGAAATGTGTATGCACATAACAGGAACAAAACTTCACAAAAGAACGTATACTTTTGGTCCAGGCAATGAACTCAGATGTTTTTTTATTCTACTTCTGATTTTTTTTTCATTTAAAAAAAAATCTGATCAACACTTGCTAAATTATTTTCAACGCCCAAGAAAGAGGCAAGACCTACAGCTCAAAAACCAATTGTCCCGCGCCCGCTCTCCGCATCTCCAAGGGCACGCCTCCTGCCCGCGCGCCAGCTGCCCCCACGTTCACTGAGCGGGTTTCCCTCTAAGTAACTCCATTTTCCCCAAAATAAATGTGAGTAAGAAGGAAAGCAATAGCAGGGCAGTAAATGGAAAATCACCCTACTGGCAGTGATACAAAGTTATCGCCAGAAATAGATACAATGTTGCTGAGCTCTGGCAGATGGTGGTGTTTGCCCACACTCACCCTGAGACCTGCTGCTACTTGTTTAAAAAAGAAAGAAGTGGGGGAGGAAATGGACCATGTCCAAAAGCGTACTACCCCAGATGAAAATCGGGTGTTTCTTACCGCAGGAATCAATGTGATTTGATAGTGTCCAGGCATCCCCTAAACTCAACTTCTGAGCTCCTAAAACTGCTTTCCCGACCCGCTTCACGGTGTGAGGGGAGCCACCGGACCCAGAGACCCGGCCGGCTGGGCTTCCACAACCAGCAGGCTCAGGGGAGGCTGGGTTTCTGTTCTTGCCCCCCCACCCACCGTTCTCCCTGCCACCCCTGGTTCTAGAGGAACTAGAGCGATGGGTGTCACGTGGCCTCGAGGAGACCAAGGTCAGGGGGTCTAGGGATGGGGTCAGTTGTCCCTGCACATACGTGCAGAGAGCCCCCGGCATCTGTGTGCTGAGCTGAGAGGAGCCGCGGGACACAGTGAGGGTCCCCTGAGGGCATTCCCTGGGGCTCTGCTAGAAGGTGGGGGCCCCAGGACCCATCCCAAAATCAGCCCCTTTCCCAGCCCCACCCAGGGGCACCACCATAGGGCCGCACCCAAAGCCACGGATCAGAGTGGTGTGGTCCATCGCCCAAAAATGTCTCCCCAAAATCACCTGTCATGGACACTGTCCCCCAATCCCCTGCCCAGAAGCCACCTGCAAGAGGGTGACCTCAGAGGACCAGGGTTTCTTGCTCCGGTGCCCCAGGGCGGGCAGGACATCCTGTGGAGGCCGAGAAGTCTCGAGGAGCAGAAGGACGCTGGGGGCTGGGTCCATGGCTGGCGGAATGGGGTGACGGCTGCAGGGCTCTTGGGGAGGTGACCCCAGAGCAGGATTGGTTGAAGAGTTTCACTGGAGAGATGGGGAGGGGTCTCTTCCAGGACAGGGCAGAGAGGTAGGGGAGGCTGTTCTGGCTCAGGGAGGGAGGGGACCATTGGTGGAGAGGCTCCAGGCCCCGCTAGGACCGTGTCACCCATCTCCCCAGAGGACCAAGCCTCAGAGCCAGCTGACGCTATAGGCCTGAGAGTTCCTAGGATTCTTGGTGAAGAGAAACCACTTTGTCTCGTGTTTCTAAATGAAAAACTTCTGTTTAATGCCGTTCGCTTTGAAGTTGTGACCCTCCCTGTGTCCCTTACCTGGGGATGTACCTCACCGACCTGGCCTTCATCGAAGAGGGGACGCCCAATTACACGGAGGATGGCCTGGTCAACTTCTCCAAGATGAGAATGGTGAGTTTCCTGGGGCAGTCTGGGGGCTTCCGAGCCCAGACCCGAGTCCCGGACCACCGGGCCTGCTCTGTCGGGCATGTGCTCCCCCGAAAGCCGGGGCTCCCCCCAAGGCGCAGGCTGCATCCGGCAGGCCCTCGGATGAGGCCGACAGGCCGAGGGGTAGGTGCCCGTGGCAGGGTACATCCCACAAGCCAGAGGAGCGGCCCGAGGCTCGGGGGGGTCAGCGACCCAGTACGGTCACCCCGCAGGGGAAGGGCAGAGCTGGGTCTAGAACCGTGGCTGTTGGTGCCCCTTCTGTGCTGCGAAGTGGAGGGGCTTGGCAGGGCGAGGGGCACAGAGACAGCAAACTGTCTTCTTAAACTGCCCTCCTTCCCACAGATATCTCATATTATCCGAGAGATTCGCCAGTTTCAACAAACCGCGTATAAAATAGAGCACCAGGTGAAGGTAAGCGCCCCGCCCGGCCCTTCCCCGCTCACTCAGGGGCTCCGTCTGGACCACCCTCCTTCCTCCCTTGTCGCTAGCAGGCTCCCCTGGGCTTCACGCCGCGGGTGCAGCTCCGGGCTGATTTCGGCCTCCCCACCCCCGTTGATGATCCCATCCAGCCCCCACCCCCACTCTGCAGGCAAGGGAGGTGGCATTTACAACATCTTTGTGGAAAGGAATACGTCCCCTAGTTACGCAGCTCACGGTTGGGAAGGACGGGCACTGAAAAGTCCCCCACGGGGCCAGCGGGATCCCCATCTCTGGGCAAAAGTGAGCAGAGCCAAGCTTTTTCCCTGTGATGTCGCAGCCTAGCATATGCTCCAGGTCCTCCCTTCCTTCCTCGGCAGAGCGTCTCTGAGAGCGTTTGTCTGGTAGCAGCAGAGACCGGTCTACACAGCTCTCCGCCGGGACGGGCACGTAGGTCGGTCCCGCCTTGGCCGGAACCGCCAGGCTGGGAGGGAGCACACGCAGGTCCCGGCAGGACGGTGCTGCCCATGCGGGCAAGACTGGCTCCAGGGGGCAGGGAGGACCTGCCAGGGGTGGCTGCAGCAGGTGGGCCTGACCCACGTGAGCCCGGGCTCCTGGAAGGATCCGGAACCTGGTCCTAAGGACCGCGGGAAGCCAGGAAACGAGCTTGCGGAACTAGTCAAATTTGCACGTTGGTCTCACTGTGCTCACTTTGCTGAACCGCGTGCCCCACTTTACAGATAAAGTCACTGAGACCTGCAGACCCAGACTGACCCCCGCGTACCCCAGAAAGTCAAGCCGCACTTCCCTTTGCGGCAGACTTGCCCTCTGAGAATCTGTTTATGAGAGAAGTCAGTGGGGTTACTGACGGGTTCCCTTTCCCCTGGGTCTGTGCCCATTCTGTCATTGCACACGTACGTCTTGAACACGTGCCATGTGCCAGGCTCTGGAATGGGCCTGGGGCTCCTTCTCTCGAAACTCCATCTCCAGCCCCGATGTGCAACACACGGACATGTCACCGCCTAACAGACTCCTGTCCCTGATCGCTTCACGGGGGTGCTGTTTGCCGCCCGTCCCCCTCCCCGATGCAGAACTGTGCCGGGAGCTCGACCTTGAGCATGCTCATGATGGAGAGGGCTAGCTGATCCGCGTGTGGGTGCCCAGAGGGCCGGAGGGACCAGATTTCTGTAGGTTTATCCGGAAAGGGGTGTTCGCGGGAGGCTGGTGTGGGCCGACCCAGACTGTGATATCTGGAGTCCACTTCCAGAGATGCCGGCGAGAGCCATGAGTCACAGTCGTCACTGTATCTGTGACTAGGGGCCCGTGTCAGCCGCTCCTGTCCCCACAGCTGCACGGGGTCCAGGAGCCAAGCTGTTCGCGGCGGAGACCAGATTTCACTCGAGCAGTCACCCGGAGATTCCCAAACACGGTGTAAGACGTGTGATGGGGTCTTCCTTCCGCCTGGGGTTTCTGAGCAAAAACAAGGAACCTTTGGTTCCAAATGGCTGACAGAGGAACGAGCCTAGGAAAGATGCTTGGTGAAGCTGGGGCTGCCCCGGGAAGGTCTGGGCTCTGGTCGCTCAGGCAGCTCTGACTGTAGGAGCCCAGCCGCTCACGGGGGAGGGAGGAGGGAAGAACGAGCCCGGCCAGGCGTGGGGCCTCCGATTGTGCACAAGGAGGCTTTGCCCCAGAGGGAGCCGCGCGAGGCCAGACGGGGAGGCCCGGCCCTCACACAGCTCGTTTCCACTTTCCTCTCTTGGGGTGCACGCGGCTTGGTGCTTTGTCAGCCTAGTGTTCAGACCTGTCTTTGCAACACGTGAACCCCCAGACGCCCACTATTACATTCTACACTTGACATGGCCAATTTTTTTTTTCAAAATTGGGGCGCCGAAAACCGTGGCACCTGGGTGGCTCCGTTGGTAAAGCGTCTGCCTCAGCTCAGGTCATGATCCCAGGGTCCTGGGTTCAAGCCCTGCATCGGGCTCCCCACTTTGCACGGAGTCTGCTTCTCCCTCTCCCTCCCCCTGTTCATGCTTTCCTCTCTCAAATAAATAAATGAAATCTTAAAAAAAAATTAAAAAGCCCCAAGTGTTCCACCAGAGCAACGGCAGTCAAGGGTCATGCCGACCGCTGTGACTTAGCATCACCATCAGGACACTGTCAAACCACACCAACGAGACAACGGTGTAAGGCCGTGAGCCGGCCGGCCGCCTCTTGGAGGGCCTGCTTCCCGGGGTCCTGCGGCTGCTTCTCCTTCCGTGTCCTCCTCCCCTCAGGTGACCCAGTACCTGCTGGACCGGTCCTTTGTGATGGATGAGGACAGCCTGTACGAGTCGTCCCTGCGCATGGAGCCGAAGCTGCCCACCTGAGGCCACGGCCGCGCCACGGACACGCGCTGTGTGCCGCTGTACATAGTCGCCTGGTTCCTGGACTTTCCTCTTTAGTATGTGCTTCTCCAAGAACACCAGTCCGTTCTCGTTCTTAGATTCCCGTAGACCGGAATAGGCGTCTCGGCTCCGTTTCCGACGTCGGCGCTCCCCGCGTCCCGCAGCGCCTGGCTCCTTCCGGCGACGGAGTCCGAGTCTTCCCGGCCCCTCGGTCTCTCGGAAGGGGGCACAGACCCCGTGTGGACGCGAGCCTGGGCACCATCCTGCTTCCGGCCCGCCCGGGCCGCTGCGTCCCCCGCCCCCCGCCCCGGGCGTCCTCCCAGCATGTTTCATGTCGTTGTTCTAACTGGGGGGGTGGGGGGAGGCGGGAGGGGACCGCACCGTGAAGTCCAGTCATTCACAGATCTTCCCGCTGATGGTGATGCCAATTTCCAAAGCAGCTTTTTCAGCCAAAATCCCAGGGGTCCGAGCTCCCCCGTCTCCCAGTCACCCGGACGGAGGGGCGTTCTCGGCACCGAGAACCACGCCCCGCGACACCAGCGCCGCCACCTCGTGCCGGCACCGCGCGCTCCTCGCTCTAGGACTCTCAGCAGGTAGCATGAGTAGCGTCTCCGTGAACCCGGCTGAGGCCCCGACACATCCCCGGGGACACGGAGTCACCACACAAGGTCCGCCCACCTGCGCAGACCGCGGCCCAGCCTCCGCGGCAAGTCGGGGACACAGAACACGTCACTCCTCCTCTCTTAGCTGCCTAACGGTCTCTACAAGCTTACATTGAGATGCCCTGAGTCCGTTTGCTTTGTGAAACTCGTACACCGTAGAGCTAGGGGGCCGGTAACCGAGTGTTCTCCTCGCCCCCACCGTGGTCCTGAGCGCCCTCCCGCGGGAGCGCGGTGCCGTCGTGCTCACTCTGTGACCGCCACCGCCGACTTTCTGCACGGCGCTGCGGAGAGAACGCGGGCTCACCCGAGCGGCAGGCGGGCTCACGGCGACAGACAGTTTTGCTGTAAGCAATACCTAGTGGTGTGAGAATTCTATTTCAAGTCCTACAATATTTCAACTTACGGCTTGTTTGGAAAAAAAAAGATATTTCCATTTTTGTAAAAATATATGTTTCCTGATTACCTCTTGCTAATAAATCTCTTCTATCTCAGGGTGAACGTGTGTTTTGATGGGTTTCATTCGTTCACTCACGGGGTATCTGAGGAGCCCCCTGCTCCTTACCAGACCCCTGGTGGGGGCCGGAGATCCGGAGAGACAAGGACACGGACCCTGCCCTTGGGGACTTGTGGTCTGATGAGGTAGACCGTTTCGGGGATCTGCTGCCCCTGGGACAAATCACCCCAACACGTGAACGGCTTGGGACAGTTTCTGTGAGGTTTCCGAGTCCTAGGGGTTGAGGACGGGGCTCTCCTGAGGTCACGGCCACAGCAGCTTGGGTTACCTGAAAGCTCGACTGGGCGGGGCGTCCAGGAGTTGACGTTGGCTGAGGGCTGAGCTGGGGCTGTCCGCCCAGCACCCTCACCCAGCCTGTCCCTGAGTCTTGGGCTCCCCGGGGCGGTCACTGGGTCCCAAGAGCCACCTTCCAAGAGACTCGGGCAAAAGCCGCAAGGCTGCTTACAAGCCGCCCTCAGACTTCCCATGACATCCCAGGGACCCGGCATGTCGCCAAGGCCGGCTGGGTCACGGGGAAGGGGACCGAGCTCTCCTCCTAACGGGAAGAGGAGCAAAGGGTCGGCAGCATCTTGCGGTCTGTGGAGATAGACCACTTCAGCATCTGTCAGATGGGGCCAGGAGGGCCTTGGGGACCCCGAGGAGGAGAGGGCACGTGGTGGGGGGTTGGAGAAAGCCACACAGGGTTACGAGGAGGTGGGATAGGTGGGGATGACTTGCCAGTCAGGGCTGGTGGGAGGGTGCCCCAGGCCAAGACCAGCAAAAGCGCAGAAGCGTGAGAGAGTGTGCTTGCTCCCGAACGGCAAGCGTGAGCGTGCAACACAGGGGTGGAGGTGAGATGGGGACATCGGGCCACGGGAAGCCCAGGGGATAAGAATTCCCAGAGGGGAGGACAGCCCCTGGCTGGGGCCAGCGGAGCCCATGGGGTGCGGCCATGGCCCAGCCACCACCCGAAGGAGGGCGAGCCGAAATAGGCCGAGGAAGAGGGGTCTGAGCCCCACACCCGTGCCCCAGGAGAACAGCTGGGAGCACCCCTGACTGCCTCCCATGGGGGTTGGGGCCAGCATGCTGCCCTCCATTACAGGCACGAAGCCCAGAGTAAGGCAAGACCCACTTGCGGACCCTCCCAGGGCCACCTTCCCTGGGACCCGCGACCCTTGAACACACCTGCCCTGGGACCCGCGGCCCACGGGCGCACCTGCCCTTCCCGCCTCGGCCCTCGCTCTTCATCCCACTTCTGCAGTGACCCGAGGAGGGCGGCTCCACGGGGACCCGGCTGGCTGTGGCTGCCCACTGCGCCACTCACATGCTGGTGAGCCCAGCCAAGTCCCTCAACCTCTCTGAGCCTCCATGTCTTTCTCTGAAGAAGGGGGTGAGAATACTTCACCATAGAACAGGATGAACGAGCACACGTGGGGAAAGCGCTTAGCACGGGATGAACCGCTAATGGGGGGAGAGCGAGCACATCCTGGGGCCCACAGGAGGATGGGTGGGAAACAGACGTCTTTCAATCCAAGGCGGCCGCCGTTACTCCTTCCGGCGTCAGAGGCCGCACTGGGCTCCATGGGCCTTGCCCACAGGGGCGTCCCTGAGGTCCAGGCCGTCGCCTTCCTCTGTGTCCTACGAAGGAAGGCAAAGCACGACTGGGTGTCCTCGGCCTCCGGGCTTCAGACGGGACCACCTCGCCCTTCTCCCCGCTGAGAGCAGACCCTGAGACGGCGGCTGCTCCAGACCGGGGCTCCGAGTGGGTCTGTCCCTGCAGGGAAGGCAGCTTGCTGCAGGAGTGCTGCCCCCCAGGGGTGTCACCGTGGGTCCCGGGCATGGATAGAGAGGGGGGCAGCAGCTCTACAAGGCACGATGCACTGCTCCCCACAGTTACCTGGAACGCCCCATGCACAGCCAGACTGCCCAGGTTCAAGTCCCCCCCGGCCCCTCACCAGCCGCAGGACTTGGGCAGGTTATGTAGCGCTCTGTGCCTCGGTTTCCCCTTCTGTAAAACGGGTCAACGCTACTGTCTGCCTTGCAGTGTTGCCGGGAAGACTCGGCGAGATGATAAGCACAAGGCAAGCACGTGCCCCACAGCTCCGGCCGTCGGCCCTTCCTGAATTAGTCACAGAACGCTCGGACTCCGCGAACTCGGGGAGGAGCCATGCGGCGGGGTCCCCAGCCCCGCCAGGCGCACATTCTGCTGGGCGGGGCAGTGGACAAGTCCTGGAAATGCCCAGGGCACGGCGGTAAGCACCATGAGGACGGTTAGGCAGGGAGTGGTGAGGAGGCCAAGACGCCTGACCTGACCCGGATGACACAAGGGGTGGCGTCGGGGTCCCGGCCGCCACTCGGTCACCACTCCCATGAAGGCAGGCGCTGGGGGAGTCAGGCACTGGGCAGCGCTCAGAGCTGTTTCGGGCAGGACTGAAGCGCGGCCAGAGAAACACCTCCCCCACCAGGTGTCCGATTTAAGGAGCTGCAGAAAACCTCTGCAAGAAACATCAAAAGCAACGTAAACATCCGTGATCGACAGCACGTGGGCATCTGCAATGCAGACCAGGTCAGTGTCACTGATCCCTCCAGCGGCCCCCGGGAGGGAGCGGCAGCCACCATGGCAGCGGGGGCGGCAGCCTGAAGAGCAGGCTGTCGTCACAGGACACCACGGTGCCGCCCAGACCCACGCACCCTCCAGGCATTCATCAGAGCTCCGCGGGCGCATACCTGGGGAGCAGCCTCCCACCCCGTCCCCGGCCTCCTGGAGCTCCTGACCCCGCTGGGACAGGACGCCCACAGCCGATAACCTGCAGGCCTCCAGCGACAGCCGCGCCCTCCTGCTTCAGACCCTGCGGCTGACCACCTGGAAGCCGGCACCCTGGGGGTCATCCACTGCCTTCTGGAACTCAACTGGACCAAACCGACCTCAGCAGCTTCCCGCCCCACCCCGGCCTCCTCAGCACCCCACCAGATTGTGCAAGCCAGAAACCCAGAGGTCACCCCTGATTCCCAGTTGCACAGGGTTACAGTCCTGTCCTTGTTAACCTTCTAATTGCCTTCCAGGCGGGGGCAGCTCGTCCCCTCCCCTGCCAGCCCCCTGGGCCAGCGTTCTCCAACCACGGGACCCCCATGCTCTTCAAAACTGCTGAGAACTCTGCGGCACCTCGGGGGCTCAGTCCGTGAAGCATCTGCCTTCGGCTCAGGTCCTGATCTCAGGGTCCTGGGATCGAGCCCCACGTCGGGCTCTCTGCTCGGCGGGAGCCAGCTTCCCCCGCTGCCTGCTGCTCCTCCACTCGTGCTCTCCCCTCCTTTCTCGCAAATAAATAAATACCTTATTTTTAAAAACTCCTTTGAGAATTTCCCCCCAAAACCCATGTAAGTGGTTTCTATCAGGCACTATAATTGTAGTTACTGATTAGTGCATTCAAGACTAAAACTTCAGGGAAGTCTTTCAACATGATTTGTTAAATCCGTTTAAAAATACCAACACCACAGCAATCCCACGCCTGGGCGTGTGCGCAGAGAGCAGAAGTCAGGTTCCCGAAGATAAACCACACCCGCGTGCCCAGCAGCCGGCAGGAGTCGGCGGCCACGCGCCCATCGGTGGATGTACACACGCGTGCTCTATGTGCAAGGCAGCCTCGAAAGGCAAGTGTGGCCGGGGCGCTGGGGTGGGGTCCCAGACGGACCAGGCTCGGCCACGCGCCGCTGACAGCATCAAAGGCAGGGAGATAGCAGGGGTGAGACAGGACAGGCGTTCATTTCACGGAGCCAGGCCCGGGAAGCCCGCGGACCAGCGCCTCAAAGACCATCCCCAAAGTGTAGAA